GAATGGCTGGGAATAAGATACTCTGATTAATAAGTTTTCCTTCAACTCTCTCTTTTCTGTGAAAAATATCTAATATGTATTAGGTCCTCCTCCTCCTTCAAAAGAAGGGAATACTCTATTAAACATAGTACCTGCCTTAGCCTCCCGAGTAGCTGGGACTACAGGTGTGTGCCACCGCACCCAGCTTCCTTCGTTTTTTTTGAGCTTGCCATAATAGACCCCGCTCTCTTAACAAAAAAAGAAAAGAAAAAAATTGGTGAGAGGTTTAAAAGGGGAAAAAAAAAAAAGAAAGAGGAGTGCCCAGGATTGAGACGAACTGCAGAGGAGGGATCCCAAGCTCAGGTATCTATGGAGGCCATGCAGATAACTATAAAGCAGGCCAGGTGTGATCAGTTAGGAGCACTAGAGACTATGGCAAAGGGTAAAAAGTACAATCCCTAACAAAGACACTCAATTTTCTAAAAAAAAATCAGGTGCACCAATCAAAACAGAACTGCGTCTGCAGGATATCAGTTTTGACCTGTGCTGTGAAGGAAGAATGAGAGAAGGCTCTCGAGATGCTAGCAGACTGTACTGGGGTGGGAAGAGAAACAAGAATGCTACAGTTGCAAGGGGGCTGAGCAGGGGACAGGGTATCACAGTGACCAAGTATATGCAGAGTGTGTATGTATGTCTGTTGTGTGTGTATAACTATTGAGCATGTATGACTGACTACTAATTTAATTTCATTTACCAGTTCTAAATTTCAACAGATCAATGGCTCCAAATTCCAAAAAACCACTAATTTTGAAACAAAATCTATTACCATAATATGAACCACTGCAATATTTTTAAATTGCTTTAAATTCCCTTTAATACATTTTCAATAATTTCCAGTCAAACATATGTTCTTCAAGAAGTACAAATATTAAAGCTTTATCTACTACTATTAAGAATGTACCTCTGCTTCTCTCTTCTTTGCCCGTGCTTTCTCTACTTCATCCATTACTTTCTGGGATTCTTCCACATTCCCTTCTGCTCCTAGTTGTTCCACTTTGGCTAACAATTTACCAATTTCTTCATTTAACTCATGAACACGTTCTGCCTAAAAAGAAATAGAAGATCATGCATAAACAACAAAATGAATATTAAACTTCAAAGTACTTCAGAAATGCTCAGAAAAGACTTGTTATCTAAGCCAATATGAGTACAAACAATGACTTCTGAGCATATCGCATAAGCTGATGAGACATCAGGATGTCTTGAGCCTTCCTGCCTTTACCTCGGTGAGGTCAGGGATACTACCGATCCCAATCTAACTTCCTAGCCTCTGCTTGGGCAGTGTGCTCCAGGTATAAAATACCTTTTCTTCCATGATCTAGCCCTCTATACCTTCCTAAATCATCACTCGCTGTTCCCCCACCTCATAACATAATCTATAGTTATTTTTAGTTTACCAAACTTACCTTGTTGCTTTCTGCCTCTGTTCCCTCTTCCTGGGACACCACTCCTTACCTCTCAGACCCCCTGCCTGCCTAGTGAATGTCCATTCATCCAACAAGATCCACCTCAAGAGTCTTTTCAGTGAAGCATTCCTAAACAAATACCACATCTCATCCTCACTTAAACACATATATACCCTTCCTTTGTGCCACACTTTTGTATCTTTTTTGACAATTACTCTCATAAATATCATACTATTTCAGGATAGCTATCTGTATTTTCCATGTTTGTATCTCCAATGCCCAACAAATAGCATAGGCTCAAATATGAGTTTAAGAAATGAACTGGTGGCTATATTGTAAAGCAACTGGTAAATATAGCTCAGAAGTGAAACAGATCTGGCTTATTGCTAAACCAATTACTAGTTGTGTAATTTTGGCCAAATTACTTAAACTTGAATGCATTTCCTCATCTAAGAAATAGGAATAGTACCTATGCCACAAAGCTGTGAGAAATGAGAAAATGTGCCTTGCACACAGATTACATAGCACCATGTTGATCTGCAGTATACTAGCATGGTGCCCCCACCCTCTTAGTCCTTGGCTTTCCACTGGGATTAATTCTTGCCTTGGGATTTGATATGCTCCTCCTCAGCAGCAGCATCATAGGAACATAGTTCATTCCTACTGTTTTAAATGCATATGATACATATACAGTCTTTATTTTGGCCACAAAATTAGTATTTAGTTTGCTATGTAGCCAATTATATTAGCAAAGGTCTTAATTTGGTATGAACATCCAGTCCCAACAAACTACTCTGCCAATAATCTTTACTTTTCAAATTTCCTTCAATCCAAGATATTCCTTCACTCAATGAGATTCCCATCTCTATTATCACTATCTACCCTCTCTGCCAAAGTGGTATTTCCTTTAAATATGTCATTGAATGACTGCACTGATGCCCCAAACTCTTCACCCTTCCCTGTTTCCATGCCCTTTACCATGAAACTGTGTGCCATCATACTCTGACTCTGAATTTAGCCATAAACTTGCTTTGGCTACTGGGATGGTGGCAAACATGACCCAAGAAAGGCTTGAAAAGCACTTGTATGACTGGGCTTGATGATTCTGCACCTCTCCCACCACCATGAGAACATAGCCAGGCTAGCCTTATGGGCATGGCTCAGTAGCCTCCAGCTAACTGCAGATATGTGAATGAGCCCAGCTTAGACAGAAATAGGTGCTCAGTCAAGTACAGCCTAAATCATCGACTGTAAAGTCATGGACTAAATATTTACTGTTTACGTCACTGAGTTTTGAGGTGGTCTGTTACACGGAACTTTTGTAGTGACAGATATGCAACACAGCTTGGCCTCTAGCAAGCACTCATTATGGGTCTCTCAACCATGAGATACTAGCTACATCTCTTGTGCTTTAGGATGCCCATCTTAAAGTACCAATCTTCAGAAAAAAATGGCTAAAAGTTACCCTTTTCTCAAACGAGGGAATCAATTTCCCTTTGTACACACATTTCTGAACATTATTTTAATGATGTCATCTGAACTCTACCTGGGTAAATCTTTTTCTCCCATTCTGCATTTTCATAAAATGAACTAGTATACTGAATTGACAGAATAATGTTATAAAGTAGTAAGTCATCAAATCAATCAAATGCAATATATAGGACCTTGTTTGAATTCTGATTATAACAAACTGACAAGAACAATGAACATATATTGAATATTAGATAACATTAAAGAATTATTGTTAACTTTACTGTGATATTATGGTTATATTTTACCATAATATATTGATGTGATATTATGGTTATATTTTACAGGTAAAATTATATGACAC